CCTCCTCCCACAAGGATCCTGTAATTTAAGCAGCACAAGAACTTGCCTACTACACTACAGAACTAGATAGTTTAATCTAAGCCAGCAAAGAATTCGTTTGTGATTATTAGTTTGTGCTAACTTTAATAAACCACCTAAAACCACACTAGATCTCAGTTAAGTCTATGTGCTTGTTCCAACAGTCTCCAGAAATAAATGCTTTGTTAAAAATCAGTGTATGATTGCATGAGTATTTTGATGCAAGCCACCCGATGGCTAAACAGAAACATCTTTCAAGAGTCATTTGGAAAATCTCTAGAACTGATTTCTCCTGAAATCAGCCTCAGGTTTTCCCCTAACTCTCATGTCATTCAGTATGAACTTTGCTAACATGCATCCAGGTCAAAATTAAGATGGCTTAAGATGGGGTCAATTTGTGTGTGTTTGAAAACACCAGGGAACCCCCAAAGACCTTTCCCCACTGCTCCAATTTGCTGCAGCAGTGCCATGCAGTATTCCAGATGTAAACCCCAGCTACTCATATAAAGCAGGTTGCTCTGCTGTCCTGAAATCTGCGTGCATGTCTAGGCTTGTTCTGCTCCTCCCCTCCATCTATAGAAAGATAAAACAAAACTAGAAGAGATTCAGGGACAGGCAACCAGGATGATCAAAGTTATGGACTAGCTTTGGAGCAAGAGCCTAGGGAAGGAACAACTAAGTAGATGAGAAACCTTCAGTTTGTAGGCAGCTGAGGAGAGGATATGAAAAATCCTGGGAGATCACAGGAGGCACAAGATGATCTATGGGAATAGATGCAATCACCCCATGTTCTCTCCACCGTTTAACTCCTGGTGCTCTGCAGCTTTGCACAGCCAAAATCCAAGAAAAGAGTGATGCAGCTCTGGGACATCACTGGAGATGTGTCCTTTGAAAAGGAAAAGCACTTAGGGTTCTCTCAGTAATTTGTGTTCAGTCTTTCCAAGTGACACCTTCAGAAGCACCTTCACATTCCTTTTATAGTCTCCTGGTCAGTCGCTCAGGTTTTTGCAGCATTCCCAGAGAGACCCTGAAGTACTTGGATATTTTGCATCAAATTCCCTGCACAAAGATGATGAAACTGATTACATCAGAAGTTCATGCTATAAGCAGAGCGTGGTCTGTGCTACTAAGAGGGACCAAGCTATGCCACAACAGACTTTTTTTTTTTTTTTGCCAGTGTTTCCTTGTGTTTTATGCACAGCCATAGCCAGATTCAAAACAAAGTTTCCAAGATCTGTCCTATATCCAGAAAATGAAATGCTTTTGCCTTCTACCCAGGTGCACAAGTGCCACCACAAAAGACGACTTCCTCAATCCTTCCCTCAGACTAAACAACAGGACAGGCTTCTCCATCTATGTTAAGATGGGGAAAGCATCTCAGGTATGATTCGTCCTCAAATTCTTTCTTTCAACACATCTGCACATGGGCAAATATACTGAAGGAGTAAAGCCTACTTATGTAGATGCATCTGTGATACACAACATGCACAGCCACGCTATGTATTTCAGTGCATTCCTGACAAAGCTGGTAGTGACAGCGTAGCTGCGTGTATGACAGGCTAATGGACAATAAGTTTGTAACAAAAAATCCAACTAAATCCATCACAACAGTGAGCTCTAACTGATTCGCTACAAAACTAAACAGAGATATATAAGGGAAAATTTCCCAAAGTATAAATCTCAAAGAAATCCTTCTAGAATTCAAAGGCTAAGCATCTTTTTTTTAATAAAAATTATTATTCCTAATATTTCGAACACTAAGAATCCCATCCCAAATAAAGAACCATTCTGCTTTTATTATCTAAACAGATTTGGCAGAGACAACGTAATGAAATTCACATGTGTTCATCCACCAGGCTCCAGACCTCCATTTAGACAGACAGGCTCTTCCCCCACAGTGTAACCTGGCACTGTTTTTCTGCTTGGCTCCTGTCCAAAGGCCAAAACCTGAGGATTAATGGTCACTGTTACAACATTTGCTTTCCACTTAGGAATATACAAGTAGTGGGGTTTTTTTGAGCTACACCTTTGAAATGGTGAAAAAGAAAATAAATCATTTTTGAGATTTTTTTCTGACAAAATGAGTATTTCTCTAAGAAATACCTGCTGCCATTTCAAGGTGTCTAATTAACCAATAGCTTTATTGCGAGGCAAACACTGGCATTCTTACAGGAAAGAAAAACCCCAAGTTTTCTAAGTAACACTTACATGTTAAGAGGAGCTGTGGAAGGAGAGTCTCAGTAAATTCCAGAATCATTTGATTAGGGGTTGATTATATTATCTTGAGAATAATAAAAGACTGAAGATTCTCTAACAGTCTGGTTTTTATGATTGGGTGGGGTTTTTTTTGGTTTTAAGATACAGCAAAGCAGCTAAAATGCTCCTGCAGTGGCTCCTTGCTTAAGCTTAGGACATCTCAGACCTTTTTGTTTTCCCCAACATTTACAGCTTCTGAAGATAAAGGCAGGAGACAGAAGAGTTCCTTGTCATGGCAACAGACACCAAGGTTTAGGCTGTCATTAGACTGCAAATTTACTTCTACTTCACCACTTTTGAGGAACAAAGTTCGCTGACTCACATGAATGAGGCAGCAGCCCAGGTCATCAAAACTCCTATCAAGGAGCTTATCCTATCAAGATTTTCCTCCAGTCCTTAGTCTTTATTTCTGTGCCTGAACAGCTCATACAGCTCACAGCTGGGACCAAAACCCCACCAGGCTGGTGACTGTGCAGCTGGAGGTGGGCCCTGCTTGTAATGTTGAAAGTTAATAAGCTGTCTGTCCACAGTTACATACTGTTCACAATGGCAAAACTCAGGTCCCAAGGAAAGATTGTGACAGCAAGTCATTGACTTCACAGAGCTCATATGGAGCTCACAAGTGACTGCAACACAGCAAACATAGCTTGAAATACCAGCCCTGTGCTACAGGCGTTAAAACTCTTTCAGCCTCAACTTACCTTGGCTGGAAACATTCACGCAGAAATAAATCCCGTAGATCTGATATACGTAGAGAGTTCCTGGTTTCATGAACATTGCCGCGTTTCGTTGAGTTTGCTTCCCACCTTTCGAGTGGGAAGCTTCATCTTCCCCACCCAGATAAGCTTCTGTTTCAACAATCCTCCCCCAGAGTTCTCTGCCATCAGGAAGTTTGCGAACTAAAATCTGAAAGAGAGGTCAGAGCGCATCAGTTAGCAACCCTCTGTACAAAATAACCAGAGCGCAAGAGCTGTGGAAACAAAGAAGTCAGAAAAAAGGACTTGATGCCCCTCTACTCTGCTCTGGTGAGACCCCACCTGGAGCACTGTGTCCAGCTCTGGGGTCCTCAGCACAGGAAGGACATGGACCTGTTGGAGCAGGTCCAGAGGAGGCCACAGAAATGATCAGAGGGATGAAACACCTCTGCTATGAGGAAAGGCTGAGAGAGCTGGGGCTGTTCATCCTGGAGAAGAGAAGGCTGTGGGGTGACCTTGTTGCAGCCTTTCAATACTTAAAGGGGGCCCACAAGAAAGATGGGGATAGTCTTTTTAGCAAGGCCTGCTGCAACAGGACAAGGGGTAATGGTTTTAAACTAAAGGAGGGTAGGTTTAGACGGAACACAAGGAAAAAATTTTTCACAATGAGGGTGGTGAAACACTGGAAGGGGTTGCCCAGAGAGGTGGTAGATGCCTCATCCTTGGAAACGTTCAAGGCCAGGCTGGATGGGGCTCTGAGCAACCTGATCTGGTTGTAGATGTCCCTGCCCATTACAGGGGGGATGGACTAGATGACCTTTAAAGGTCCCTTCCACCCCAAAGCATTCTATGAGTCTATGGTACTACATACTCTCCTCTCCACCTAGCAATCTAGTCTGCAAGCTAATGTGAACTTTTTCAGCTGCTACTGTCCAGGCCACAGCCCAGTACAAGAAGTTCCTACCTGTCATTCACCCCACAAAATGCCTGGAGTGATTAGATGTGGCAGTATCATAAAGAACCAATTTATGATCCTATATACAGTAAAGCCCATGGAGTTGCTTTTGTGGTTATTTTCTGTATTCTCTACTCCAGTCCACCAGGTTTAAGGCAAAAAACACCACCAGCATCAACCCTGAAGCATCATGAATGTATATTCTTTACATCAGAAGAAATATGATGGTGGAACAATTAAATAACTACTATGACTAGATAGTCTCTCTCCACAGAGATGTTTCAAACAAGTCCTAGTCCCTAACCACAGAGATAATCATGACCAGAGTGAGTATCAATTCTATTTCTGTTATTTTCTGCACCACAGACAGGGGCAGCGCAGCAGAGCTGGGAATTGGCTTCAAGCAGACAACACCAGATCTTTGTTATTACAGTGTGTTCCCTGCTTCTGGTGCCTCCTTAAATAAAACAAAGCAGATGCGGAGGAAAAAAAAAACAACAAACAAACAAAACACATGACAGTGAAAAGATAATCTTTAAAAATAAAACAATCACAAAATTTCATACAGAGTTTTTTGTGGTTTGACCTGGTTTCTAAATCTCTTATTTTCCTTAATGTGTGTTTAAGAAATACTGCAGTATAGTCTCATTTAGGCAACAGCCATCAGTTTAATTATACTATATTCAGTGCTTCCATATTTGAAAACCAGCCATTCAAAAATGACCTTCAAGAAACAAAGCTTAATTCCTAACAGATGTTTGTGCTGGATTGCTAATGCAGTTATTGACCTGATCCAGTATGGATGCTCCAGAAGTCAGTTTCAAACGTTGCAACTCCGGCAGATCAAGGGTTCCCTACAGCACTTCTCAAATTGTTGAAAACAATCAGTTTATTATTTTTAGGAAAAATGCAGTGACTTCAGAAAAGCTCTGGTGTTTAGCAACTGCCTGTAAACACCCTGAAGGCACACCCATGTGGCCACATTTCTCTTTCAATATGATGAAATGCAATGGTTAGGTTATGATTTTAAAAGCATGCAGGCATTTCCCTGACTTTTCAGATATTCACAGTTAAATATTCACAGTTAAACAGTTTAAAAATGGTGATCATTCACAATACCTCACAGTAAACTATTTTATAGAGGTTTTTATTTCTCACTGAGGATGTATCTTGGTGCTGTGACAGTTCATTTTGAGAGGCCGTTTATTGCGTGTATGTTCTGGGGTGCTTTTTTGTTTCTAAGAACTCAAGCATCACATTTAAGGTAAGCAATATTAATATATCAGGCACCTCCAAAATTTGGTAGAACGAAGATAATGAATGAAACACTAAATTACCTTTACAGTTATAATTCTAAGAAAATGAGAGACTAGACTGGGTCATGGGAGACTAGGGTTATACTTTAAAGAAAAATCTAAAATTAACATAGAAATTGCTTGGCTTGTAATTCTAGGCCTAAACAGGAAAAGTGTAGAATTAGGACTAAAATATCACCTGCCCAGGGTAACTGAATGCATAAGGATGTTGGAGTCATTAAGACAAAAATGCATCAGCACTGGGAGACTTCAGGTATCCTCACATAGACCAAGTAAGTATCACAGTAGGACAGGACACAGGCTATGTTTTTTTAGACACCATCAAATGCTTTGCAGAGTGAGTAATCAAGGATCTCACAAGAAAAGACTAAACTCTCAAACTGATCCAGAACAAAATGCAAAGTCTTTTCCAAAGACTTATCCCTGAAAAACAACTTTGTATCATGAACATGAAGTATGAAGTTCAGTGTCCTTCCACAAGTGTTAAGGTCCAAAAGTAATCTATCCAAGTTCTGCTTATGAGCAAAAAGGGGAAACTACATAAAGTGAGGAAGCTTGTTAGGAAGAACTTAAAAGAGGCAGCCAAAGGTTAAAGCTGGAAAGGCAAGCCTCTAGCAGGATGTCTATAAAGACAGCAAACACACATGACGTATCAGAGAGAGGTTCAGACAGACAAAAAAACCCCGCAGGGTTAAAAAGCAGAGCAAAGGCGTCAATTACAAGCAAGACAATATCCTTAGAAAATAAAAAAAAAAAGCTAGACACAGCAAGACAGGCCAAAACCAACAGTTTGTGGAACAAATTCCTAAAGTTATCTAAACCAATGAGAACCCAGAGAGTCTGTTCACCCTACAGACTGTAAAGGTATAAAAAAAGACTCACAGAAGATAAGACTATAGCAGTGAAACTAAAAACACATTTTGCAATTGAATTTAGGAGGTCCCACAACGGCAGTTTTTATAGGGAAAACACTGAAGGAATTCCGTCCCATGGAAACAGCGGGAGAGTTTTTTGAAGGACTCACTCAGCAGAAGAGACACATTTAATCTCCCCCACTCTGATTTCCAAAAGCTTTCAACAAGGTCCAAAGATTCCTCAAAGTTTCTGCAATGGGATAAGGGAGAAGGTCCTTTAATGAACAAGTAACGGCTTGAAAACTCAGGAACAAAAAGGAAGGAAGAGCAGTTTTCAGAGTGAAGAGACTTTAACTGTGGGACTGTGGAGTCCTAAATGTCTCCACAGTAGGGCCTGTGCTGCCTTGCATATTTGTGTTAATAACCTCAGAAAGGTGATCATTAGAGAGCTCACCATGTGTACTGACAATATCGAGTTATTCAGAACAGCAAAAACAAAAGCAGGGAGTATGAGATACGACATTCAAAGCATACAGGGCAGCATAAAAAAAAAACTACCAAGCAGCCTGCTGAATTGCAGGTAAGAATGAAATAGTTGAGTACACTATGACAGTGGATACTGGTGAAGAAAGGCCAAGGGCCTGCCATGCTATTAGCTTCACAAGGTAGTAAAATGGAGGCAGAGAAGGAGGTGTTGCTGACTGCAAAGCATTACTGTCCACTGGGCTAAGCAAGAGCCAAAAACAAATAAAAGGAATACCTGAATGGAAAATAATGGGCCTGAAACAACCTTCAAACCACAAACAGCAAAGTACATTTCAGTAAACCAGAAAAAAAGGGAGAAAACTCCACAAAAAACTAATTCTGAAATGTGACAGTAAACTAAACCTGAAAAATTACTCCTCTGACTTCATCCAAAATAGATTTGGCTACTAGTCTTTAAATTCCACTGAACTTAACAAGAGAAGGAATGAGAGCTGTATTCCCAAAATAGCAAAGCCCTGGAGTCAAATGGCAAAAAAAAAAAAAATTCATCCTTTTACACAAAGTTATTAGCTAGCACAGGCTCCAGTACAGTAATCTCAGTGTTCATGTCTTACCTGTCCCAGAAAGGACTTGGCCAAACTAATACAGGGCTGGTTGAAAAAATCTGCTTCTAGCCGGGAAGAATTTCTTTTCTCTATCGCAAAATATTTGCTGCTTTTTGGAGAAGAATCCCCATCAGGCGTAACGTTTCGGTTCTCCAAGGCATCAAAAGAAGGGAAGCTGGAGTTGCTTTGGAGAGCGCTTAATTGAGCCAACAGCTTTCTTTTTTTTGGCATAGTTCTATAAAATTGATACAAACACAATTAGGAATATAAAGCTTATTTAGAAGTAACTCATTTCCACAAACTCTTATTTTTACACATCTCTCCACAACAACGAATCTGAAAGCTATAACTAATTGGACAACCTAGCCAAACTACAGAAGCAGATGACAGATTTAGCTGTGTCTACATCAGGCTAGGCAAATATTGGGCTGTACTAATATGCAAATAAAAGATGAATACTCAAACTGCAGTTTTCTAAGGACTGCACATAAAAAGCAACTCTGCTCCACTTTGCAGCAAAAATAAGCTTGCTAACTGTTAGGTTAGGAAACTCGGAAATTGAAAACAAAGATGAACCAGTACTATATATTTTTTTTACCTAGAACTAACATAATCTGTTAAGCAGACAGAAAAAAATAGGAAGCAACACCCTCAAAAATTGTGCTGACTCAGAAAGTCCACAGAAGTAATGTATCAATCTTTTTAAACAGTAATGTAACCAGATCAGAATCTAAAACTCCACAGGACACAGAACATTTGGGTTGGCAGATGCCCTATTTACAGTCACAGCAACAAACTTGATTATCATGCTGTAGAAATGTTTGTGTTAGAGCCTCCACAAAATAAGCTTTAAATTCAACCCACCAGAAAGATGAAGAGCAGTCTGTTCCAGTCAACAGTATGTATTCGAGGCAACTACGTAACCTGAGATTGTTCTTCTAGGTTTGTCACCAATTTAGTATGCGAGCTTCGAAAAGTTAATGCTTCTTTTTCTGTGCCGCAGTCCTTACACCTGTCGAACACAAACAAACTTATTTATTTACTGTATAAAGCACTTTGAAATAGGCTAAGAGATTTTGGAGCTGGGGATCATGATACCAACAATGCACCATTAGCTCAAACACAAGAACAATTTGCAGTTTTCTGTTGGTCTAGCAGATGACCATCTCCCAGCTGGGGCATTATTGGAGATGCTCTTTAGCCTTTTTTATACAAAAGGCTATGAAAACAGTTGAGAACGCACTTTTCCTATACTGATACACAAAAAGCTGAAACCAAATTTTTTTAAATTCCCCCATTGGCACTAAATTTGGGAAGTCTCAGCCTCAAAAAAAGGACTCTTGTAAGAGAACGCAAAGACACCAGGTTTTAGAAGACATCTCATCAGTTCTGAAATTCAACCACATGTAGATATAAGGGAACAAAGCAAAGGTTCATCATACATAATTAGAAATGGAGAAAGAATCCTAGATACAGCTGAGCCTGCAAGGGAAGTATATACATAATTAAGTAGCTGTTGACACTCATTTTTCACCAGATCATCAGCTTTTAAAAATCACTACCAAAACCTTCACCATCAAAAACAATCTTTATCTTGCTCTGATGTTTCTCACAAAGAAAGTTCCACCAGCAATCCTTGAACTACACCGAAATGAATTGAGCTTTGCTACGCTGTGGATCACCAGTGCCAGTTCCCCAGCAGCATTACATTTCACTTCCGAAGAATCCAGACACAAACATATAAAAATAGGCAGGGGGAAAAAAAAAAAAATCACAGTGGCATGACTTGCAGGGAGGTGGGGTGTTTTTATGCTTTTTCCTAAACATCTAATTCTTTATCGCAATAATTCAGTGATATCGGAGACTTGCCATAGAATGGCCAGCTCCATGCCAGGTATTCTGCTCTGAACTGCGGCTTTCACCTGCTGGGAATTCTTAAAAATTTTGTCAGAAGTCACCAGTCTGCCTCAGACAAAATTACCTGGCGGCCTTCAGAAATGAGAGTCCTGTCTAGGAGAAAGGGTGCAAATAGGAAAAACGGTTGCAGGAAGGAAGGGACGGAGGAGGAACACTTCCCCATATCAGACTGACCCTCTAAAAGACTTGGTCAACGGAATGCATCACGCTGAAGACAGTACCTCCAGACTTTGCTGACAGTATTAACTGGAACTTCCAGTTCATCAGCCATACATAAAGACATGCTGAAAACATGGCCAATTTGAGTGGAGCATTAACTCATTTGGTAATTTGTGCTTTTATGGAATGCGACATCAGAAACAGGATCTGAGTTGCCGGGCACCTATTGCCTTTCCAATTAAGTAATTCTTAAAAGCTGCAAGTGCTCTCATGTAAATGTTATACCGGCAGCCTTAGGACACTTGTAATTTCATTGCTATGGGCTGATCCTACACAGATCTCAGCCCTTTCAACTCTCATTAGAAACAGCAGTAGGATACTGCCTTATAGTCAAGAGAAATAGGTCACATATAAAAATGCGATTGCTTTAAAAGCAAAAATCGAGAATGAGGGGACCGCAATACCACCTCAGAAATCCAGAAAAACCCCAATCTACCTTTTGTCTCACTGCTTGTTCATACCAAGATATGAAACATAAAACTCCATGCCTCAAAGCCTATCTACGCTTTCTGTAAAGGATGTTGCTTCTATATACAAATCCCTTCTTGCCTATGAAAAAGCACGCTGTAGAAGACAGTACATATCAAATACCCAAGCCCTATGTATATGGGAATTAAGAGACACCATCTCTTCACATGTAAGTCTACAGGCAAATTCTGCAACTCTTCATTTCTATCTAGATTTTCATGCTTGTATAATAAACAAATTCTACTTCTGTGCCTCAAATAAGAATCAGTTGTGGGTTTAATCACTTTTCACTAATCCTGTTGTAATCAAACTAGCTACAAGTTGTTAAACACGTGTGTGTACACACACACAAAAAAAAGTATGGAAGTCAGAAAAGGAAGATCAAGAGCTGAGTAAGTCTGCACAAGTACCTGAAGTGTTCAGGGCTGCTGCGCTAGTCTCAGGCAAGTGTTTAGGGACCCTGCAGGTCAGAACCAGAAAGACACTGAAAATAGGTGTAAAATACAGCTCAGTGGCAGATACACCCTCTAGTCGAGGCACAAGTGAGTCTACGCAGGCTTCTTTAATCCTTCTAATAAGACTGCATTTGCAGCTATTTCCTCATGTATCTAACGAGCTTTCACTGAAAGGAGGTAAAAAAAAATCCCACTAGTAATATCCACATACTTTTGGCTCACAGGTCCAGATAACTGCAGCTGCAAAGTTCTCCTCCTGTATATATATCTTTCTGATAGCACGATGAAGCATACATAAGAACACATTGCCACTTCTGGAGAGACAATTCCTCATACAAATGCCCAGTTGTACGGATTTCATGTGGGAATATTTGAACTGTCAATACTGGGCCAGACCAAAGGACATGTCTCCCTGTATCCTGCTCTCCAGCACAGGTCAAAAGCAGGAACCTAGGGAAGAACAGAATAAGCACAGAGTGCTTCTCCACACATCCTCCATGTCTCGAGACCGGAACCTTCTGAACTAGGCACAGTTTCTGTGCACTTAGTAACTGTGAGCTTACACCGTCTTCCCTGAGCCTGTGTAAAACTATCCAAACTGAAACTTTACTGATAAAGAAAGCTTCACAGAATTAGTCATTACGGCTCCAAAAACTCACTCATTTTGCGTGTGAAATTAGGACTCCTCCCCACCCACATGAATCAGTTTATACTTGCAATTCATCACCATCAGCCCTCTTCTTTACCGCCTCAAATACGGTAAAGCCAGCTGGAAACATTGTTTTTCCAGGCCATTGACAAAACATCCCTGCAGCACTCCAATGATGACCTCCAGCCACCACGAGGGCTGCCGTTTACTCACATCCTCTTTCCTATCTTTGCACCAACTGTTTATTTATAACAGGGAACTCCCTTACTGTGTCAGGGGTTGGTCAGGTGAGGGCTCCTGTTTAAAAGCTTCCTGAAAGCTGAGTACAAACTGTAAGACAGACCTCTCAATGTGCTTATTTAGACCTTCACAGAATTCAACATTTTTTTTCAAGGCATGACTTTCCACAACAAAAGCCACATTGGCTCTTCCTCACTATATAATATTTATGCAGGTGTCCAATAATTCTACATTGCTATATTTTCTACTAATTCAGTTGGCAGTGGTCAAACTTCCTGGTCAGCAGCCCACAGATTTCCCCTAGAACGCTCTTTAAAAAGTAGTGACACATTTGCTGCTCTCCAGTTCACAGGTATTGGCTTTCAGTGAGAAGGGAGAGACCATCCTTAGCAGCACTGTCCCCTGGGGCTCCACCTGGTTCGGCAGCTTGTTCCTGCCTGTTGCCTATTTGTTCAATAACCTCTCACACAGACACTTCATTTTAAGCTCCTTCAATGAGTTCTCAGCAAGAAGGATTTCCATCCACGTTTCCTATCTAGTCTAACCTATTAGTAACCAGAAGTAAATTGATAATGTATAGCTTCCTGGACAATAGCATGAGAAGCAGGCAAAAAAAAACCTTCTTGAAAGAAGAGTGCAGGCAGGAGCTAATATACTATAATTATCAATATTAAGTCAATCTCTCCACAGACAGACTTTGACACTATGTGCTATCCTAATACCTCAAAAGTATGGCAAAATGAATGGGTTTTATTGACCTTACTGAATGCTGGGGATGTCATTTCCTGCAAGACGTCCCTGCAATTCCAGTCCTCGCTCCTACTGCCTACTGGACATTTTGAGCTTTTTGGAATGAAAACTTATTCATCCTTCTGTAAAGAACAAGGAAGATAAAAAAGAGGGAGAGTAATGAAAAGTCATGAAAACCCCAAAAAGCCGAAATTAGCTTCGTTTAGTGAAATCATGCTTCGTTTTGGTTGACCCTCTTAAACCATTTTGGTTTTTTTTGTTCCCCCCACCCACCCAACATTCTAGCTGCTATTTTTAACTGAGTGCCAAACTTGCATATTAAATGAAAACAAACAAGTTAAATACAATACTGATAATGGATGTTAGCTAGCTCAGCCTTCTGAGATTTGAGTTAACCAAGCCAGTATTTAGTTAAGCCAGGCAGCATTTCGAGAGGCCACAAACACTGATCAGGAAATGGACATAAGGATTCAAAATCATCTGCGGTTCAGGTTTCTTCTTTATATCTACATTATTTGTAGCAAATGTACATT